TGACCCACTTTCTCAAAAGGCAAGCTGCCAGGTGTGGGGAGGGGACGGGACGAAGATTCCAGGATCTCGCGGCTCAGTGCACACAGGCCAGTGTTGGAGAGAAATGGCGAAGAGAAGGTGGTCCCTCCCTAGAGATGGAGACAGGAGCTGGGTGACAGCAGGAAGTGTGTGCAGGGCTCTGGTGGGTGTGAGCCGAGGGCAGGGGCCCTGCCTGGGGCGCCGGGAGAACCCAGAGAGGCTCCGAGGAGGGGGCGTGTCAGCCACCTGCTGCTGTGTGACAACCATCAGGAAGTAAGTGCTGAGGACAACACGGCGTGTCCTCTTGCAGCGTCTGTGGTCGGATCCCGGCCACCCCGGCTGCAGCGTGTCTCTGGGCAGCGACCAGGATGCCAGCCAGGTTGAAGGCTGACCGGGAGGACCTGCCTCCAAACTCAGTGGCGTTGGCAGCTTCAGCTCACTGTGGGCAGTGGGCAGAGGCCACCCCGTGCTTGCCACGCAGGCCTCTCCCGCACAGTGGTCGGCTCCATCAAAATGGGCACAGGACAGTCTGGCGGGGGTGGCCCAGTGGACTGAGCACTGTCCCATGGACTGAGAGGCCCCGGTTCGATTCCCGGTCAGGACACACGTCTGGGTTGTGGGCTCCACCCCCAGCGGGGGTCCTATGGGGGCAGCTGATCGGTGTGTCTCTCTCACGTCGATGTTTCTCTCTCTCTTCCTCCCTCTCTCCCTCCCGCTGTATCTGAAGATAAATGCAAAAATGTCCTCGGGTGAGGATAGAAAGAAAAATGTGTGAGGGAGAGAGCGAGAATGAACCAAGCGGAAGTAGTCGTCGGTGGCCTCATCGCCACAGAAGCGCCAGCCCATCCCAGTCGAAGGCTGAGAAGCCAGGCCCCGGGCAATCCAGAGACTCTGGAGAAATGGACCATTTGGCTGGACCAGGGGAGGGACCACCCAGGGTGTGGGAACCCCCATGGCTGTGTGTGGTTTGAAGTGGGATGAGCAGAGCCTGGAATTTTTCTTTGCAAAAGTAGCTGAAAGCCGCCACTGGCCCTGGCCACCCGGTCCAGTGCAGCTAATGGCTGAGTGGGCGCCGCTGGCTCTCAGGATCCGCCGGACGAGCCCACCGTCTATCTGTGGGGTCTGGGTGAGCAGCAGCCCCACCTTCTTCACAACGGAGAGCCAGCCAAGGCCCCCCAGGGCTGGCCTGGGCCAGACTCCAAGGCCCCATCCATGCTCTGAACTCAGGCAAGCTGTGTGACTTGTCATTCCAGGCAGGGGACGGGGTGAGTGTGTGTGTGTGTGTGTGTGTGTGTGAGTGTGTGAGAATGTGTGCGAGTGTGTGTGAGTGTGTGAGTGTGAGTGTAAGAATGTGTGTGAGTGAGTTTGTGAGTGTGAGAATGTGTGTGAGTGTGTGCGAGTGTGAGAATGTGTGTGAGCGTGTGTAAGTGTGAGTGAGTGTGAGTGTGTGCGAGCGTGTGTGAGTGTGCGCGTGTGTGTGTGAGTGAGCGTGTGTGAGTGTGTATGAGTGTGAGTGAGTGTGTGAGTGTGAGTGAGCATGTGAGTGTGAAGGGCTGGAAGGCAGTGAGGCCGCAGTGCTGGAAGGTGACCCTGCAGCCCTCGCCCGGGGAGGGAGCCTGGCAGGCTCTGCCACCCCCGCTTCTGACCTGGGGCTCTGACACCGGGAAGCAGGTGGAAGGGTGAGAACAGTGGCCCGGAGTTGGAGTCGGGGCACTGCCCTCCCTCCTCTGAGCATCAGCCTCGAGGATGAGGACACAGCTGAAGGGACGCGTCTCCGAGGCCGTGGCCCGTGTCAGGGAAGAGCCCTGGGGAGCGGCCAGTCCAGTCTAATTGCAGGTGCTTCTAACGGACTCGGGTTTTCACAGCTGTAACAACAAACATTGTCTCTCTGCCTTATCTCCTTCAGACGTTTCCTCAGTCTCACGAGGAGGCTGCCATCGCCCAGTTTAATGGGTGACCCGGAATTTGCCGGGTTGCTCAGCTCGTCAGAGGCACAGGGGGCCTGGCACAGGTGATTTCCCTGGACACCTCGCCTCGCCCTGGTCTCCGATAGCATCCCATCTGCCCTGCGAAAGGCCACCTGCTCCCAGCATCCCCCGCCTGACTCTCCAGCCCTGTCCCACCTTGCAGCCCCTCTGTCTCCGCCACCCAGCATCCTGCCCAGTGCCCCCGATGCTGCGCACTCGGCAAAGCCCGAGGATGAGCCGGACGGCCCTGCGTGGCAGGGGCTCCAGTAGACAGAGATGATGGTGGACGGCCGTCCTCCTCAGGACGGGGGGACTCCACTGCTAGCCGGGTCCCGTGGTGAAGGCCTGGGCCAGAGCTCACAGGCTTGGACCCTGACGTGGTCCCCTGGGCAGTTCGCATGGGGTCTGGAGTGTGGGGACTGTGGAGACAGGCAAGAGGAGCTCAGACTCCTCCCACCACAGTGGGGAAGCCCCTGGGTCTGTAAGGAGGAGAATGAACTGCATTCTGGGTGGAGTATTCTGGGGGGCCGGGGTGTGCGGACGGAGGCACAGAGCCAGGAGGCCAAGCCCAGGCTCACTGCACAGCCCCACAGCGGGGTGACTTCGCACCCCACTTCCAGGCAGGGTTGGTTTCAGGGCTCTACACCACGGCGGCCAGTAGGTCTGCCCCCCTCTCTTCTGCTGTTACTCAGCCCTGGCCCCCCTCACCCTGACCCCCCCACCCCCAGCCTCATCTTTCTCCCAGTCGCTGGGCTGGGACTTGCCCGGTCTCCTTGTCCCATGACTCACGCAGCAGCGGGTGGGCAGGGGTGAGGCAGAGCCGGTGGCAGCAGCCCCTCCCTGGCTGCCCGTCCAGCGTCCGCGCCCAGCTGAGCAGAATTTTCCACCTCGTGCGTGTCTGCGGGCACTGCCCGGCCTGTTTGTGCCCTCGGAGAGGCCTTGACCCCACTCTGCGGTCCAGCCGAGCATTCCTGAGGCCTGTGCTCCTCCTCCAGCCCCCAGAGCTGCTGGAACAGAGAGGACACCCAGCAAGCAGGCCGTGCCCTTTGCCAGCAGAGACAAACGCCCCCGAAGAGGTCACCTGTGCTCATTTACATGTTTTCTGTATTGATTGTTAGAGACAGAGGAAGGGAGAGAGAGATAGAAACACCGATGAGAGAGAACATCGACTGGCCGCCTCCTGCACACCCCCCACTGGGGATCGGGCCCACAACCTGGGCATGTGCCCTGACGGGGAACCGAACCGGCGACCTCTTGGTGCAGGGTCGACGCTCACCCACTGAGCTACATGGGCCGGGCAAGGCCACCTGACTTTAAAAAACAGGCTCAAGGCGTGGGAGCCCCCCTCAATGCGGAGTCCTCGAGTCCCAGGAAGCTCTGAACTCATACCAGTGAGTGGTCATCCCGTCACCACCGCCGCCCCCTGCATGGACGCGAACCCAGAACCCACTGCACGCGAGGGGTTCTGAGAACAGCACACTCTCCCGGGGGGGGGCCTTCCAGTCAGGGGGAGACCGAGGCTGGACTGGGCAGGAACTACAGTACCCGTGGAGCCAACACGGCTGGGTGTCCTCAAAGCACAGAGAGCCTCCGCTGTGTGGGCCCCTTGACACGGGCTGGCTGTGCCCACCACGGCCCTTCGAAGAGACCGGCGAGGCCAGCACAGCGCGGGCGGAGACGGTGCCTGTTGCTCACGGCTGCTCTGCTGGACCAGTTGGCATTTTACGTTCCCACTAGACATGGCTCCTCGGGGCAGGGGTGCCCTTCGCGGGGGCAGTGCCCAACCGTGTGCTCCAGTGTTTGCCGAGTGACTGTCCTGCACCCTGACCCTGCTCACAAAGTCCCCTTTCTGCACCGTCGGTCCCCTCAGGACTCACTGGAAGAGCAGTTTCTATTTGGGGCCGGTGGGCGCAGAAGCTCACCCTTCCCACTCCGTTCCTCCCATCCAGACAGGTGTGCTGCCCAGCGGTGTGGCTCAGTGGATGGAGCGCCATCCATGGACTGAGAGGTCCCGGTTCGACTCCCCGACAGGGCACATATCTGGGTTTCTCGATCCCCAGTGGGGGGTGTGCAGGAGGCATCCAATCAGTGTTTCTCACATCGATATTTCTCTCTCCCTTCCTCTCTCTAAAAAAAAAAATCAATAAAAGCATATCTAAAATAAATAAATAAAAGGCTATTTCTCTTTTCTAAAAAAAGAGACATGGCCAACAGCACCGTCTGTCCACCCGTCCATACCCCACGGCAGTGAGCGCTGCCGTTCCCCACCCCTCCCAAAGCCCACGGCAGACCCCACTCCAGCTGCGCCGTCCTGAGCAGAACTGCCACGGAAGAGTGGGCTCGTGTGCCACGCTGGGCAGGCGTGCAGCCCGAGGTCGTGAGAAATCCGTGTAAACACCCCCAGGCCGTATGTTAGCGCCCCTTCCCCCGCGAGATCCAGTGCATGCATCAGAGGAGACTCCAGAGACGGGGGCAGAAAACAGCAGTTCTGACTGCACAGCCAGAGAAATGGGGCAGACCAGGCTGGAAGCACTCAGGTCATTAGAAAGACTTCACTAGGAAGAGGGCCACTCGGCCTTGCGCCCCCAACGGAGGCTCTGAAGAGGCCACAGCTTTGCAGCAGGAAAGGGGACGTGAGCGGGTGGCGGGGGACAGGAAGGCTGGTTGCAACGTGGAAAGGCCTCGGGTCCCCGATGAACAGTGTCTGTATAACTCGGGGCACCATTGCGGTACCTCAGTTTCTCCCATGCCGACATTATTCCTTTCAAACCATCAGTAAGGAGCAGTCGCTGTATAAACGTATCCAACTCTGCCCAGAAGCGGGGCCACAGCTAGGACAGCAGGGGCTGGCCACCGCCCTACAGACCAGGCAGCTCTAGGGGCTGAGTGGCCACTGGCACATCCCTCTGTCCAGGCCTTGTGGTCCCACCTTCGAGGACCACGAAGGTCACATCTCGGGGGTTGCACAGTCCCCCTGCCCAGCCTGCAGGTCTCAGAGCAGGGCGTACGTCGGGAAAGTGAGGGTGCGGACAGGGGTGCCCAGCACTGGGTCTTGGAGGACAAAGAATTTCACTCAGCAAACAATGTGGTCACTGCCCTTGGCAGGGCGTCTTCATTTGGGACGGGCATGAAATGGTAAAGGCCAAACCCCCACCCCCACCACCTCCAGGCCTAGCACCACGCGGGGCAGGACAGGAGGGGGGGGGAGAAGTGTACAAAGGGAAGGCCTGGAGGGGTGGGGGTCCCAGAGGGACCTAAGCAGCAGGAGACCCCCAAGTGTGGGCCTCACACCCATCAGCTCCCCCCACCAAAGGTCAGTCCAGAGGCAGTGCCCCTGAGGGCCAGGCCGGCCTCCTGTGTCCCGAGGCTGAGCACCCTACGGGGCCCTGCCCTCCTCCAGGCACGGCACCCAGCCAGACAAACAGCAGTCTGCAGAACAGATGGCAGGCCGGGAGCGGGGGGCTCCGATGCCAGGTCTCCAGCGTGGTCCATGAGTCAGGCCCGTGGCTAGAAGGCCCTGGGCTGGTGATGTCCTGAGAGCTGGAGACTGTCCAGGGGCTGAATCTTCATCCTCATCCCTGAGTAGCCTTCTGCCCTCCTCCCCGGCCGCCTGACCCTTCAGCTCCGCGCCTCCTGCACGTGACCGAGACAGGTGGAGCTCAGTCCTGCCCCCACATGCCTCGGGGCCAGGAAGCTGGAAAGAAAGAGCCTCCGTCAGGGCAAGGAGCACAGAAAATAGTATTTGCAAATGCACTGCGATGGATGGGGAGCCCGACCAGCCCTCCTGAGGGACCGGCTGACTCTCACCCCAAGTGAGGGGTGTATGGCCCCACATGGCCACTGGCTTCTGGGCCACCCTTGTTAAGGCGGGGAAGCTGCAGGGCAGGGAGGAGGCGTGGGGGTGGAGGGGACTTGGATTCTCACCGGGAAATTAAAACCACCGGGAGTGGTACAAGCTCTTCCCCAGGCTCACTCCGGGTTCCCAGGGGAAGGAGTGGCATCTAGGGCAGAGGGCACCAGGCTGGCAGCCAGGCCTTCCAGGTTCTATTCCTGGACCCTCCCCTGGGCCTTCCTGACCACAGATCCGCCCCCACCCCCCTGCCCTGCTGCTCACAAAGAATGAAGACATCACAGCTAACAAATCATGACCCCTCCTGCCCCCACCCACCCACCCTGCCCCAGCCTCTCCTCTGGCCTCACGGGGCACAGGCCGGCGCTCAGGGGCAGGTGGACAGATCCATCGTCCAGGCTTCGGGGACCTGGCCTGCCTCCCGGCCCCTGCTCTCCCAACAGCTCAGCCCCGGACCCAAACCCACTGTCAACAGACGGTCGTGGAGCCCTGGCCAGCCTGCTGAGGCCCCACCTGGCAAGTGGGGCTCCTTGGTCTGTTCACAACCCCCGGTGACCCCACTGGCAGGGGGAGACCGTCTTTCTGCGTCAACTTCATGCTCAAACTCTCCTGTGAGCGCTCATCCTAGCAGGAGGGGGCAGGCTGCAGTTCACCCCGCACTCGGTGTTCACCCAAGTTCTGCCCAGGGAGGGGGAGGCCCATCAGCTGGGGGACGTGCAGGCCAGCCTCTCTCCACCTGAGTCAAGGCAGAAGCAACCTATGGCAAGGCCCGTGGGTCCCTCCACCTTTCTCTCGACACATTCAGGGGCCCCTGCCTGGTGCCCCAGGGGGAAATCCAGCCTTGGCAGGGGAGTCGAGGGGGGCAGGCCTCCCAGGCTCAGACTCCTGAGCTCCTACTCTGCTGGCCCTAAGAGGGTCCAGCTTTTAAGTGGAATGCTGGCGGGAGTCCCCCGCTATCTCTGTACGAACGAGGCAAGGAGAGAGAGCGCCAGTCCCCAGAGGGCTTACCCGCTGTGACCCTGGGCATCCAGTCGGAGGAAATCGGGGGAGGTGCGAAGTTGTGCCGGGCGCTTTAGGACACGAGGGTTCCGGCCCCCAGGCTCTGCCGGGCCCGCACTGTCTGGATGGCCTGCTGGTTCTTGAACTTGACCAGGCCCAGGGTGATCTGGGCGTTCCAGCCGGGGTCTTCCAGGGGGCAGCGGAAGTCGATCTCCCCGCCGCCCTCGGTGACCAGCGTGAAGTAGATGTGGCGCCCCGTGCTCTCCACGCACTCCACGGCCCTGATGCGCGCGAAGCTGAGCTCCTTGGGCCGGCCGCCCGCGCCCTTGGGCTCGAAGAGCTGCAGCCCGCGCTCGGTGAGCACGCAGCGCTTCCGCTTCCACAGCTGCAGGAGGCCCCCGCTGCGCTTCTCCAGCACGCCCTCCTTCAGCACGGCCGCCGCCGCCGTCATGGGCCCCGCGCCCCGGCCCGCTGCAGGCCGCGCGCCGTGCGCCCTGCCCGCCTGCGCCCGACGCGCCCCGCCGCCCTGACGCCGCCGCTTCCCGGCGCGCGCCCGCTCACCCCGCGCCCGACTCAGCCCGCAGCGACCCCGCCGCCTCTGCCTCGCGCGTCCAGCTTCGCGGCCGGGAGCCCGCTGCCCGCTCGCACCGCGCTCGCTCGCTCGCTCGCTGCCCTGGGCTCCGTCTGCGCGCTGGGCGGCAGCTCCGGGGACTTGTCCTTACTTGTCCCGCCGCTGCCTCCTGCGCGGCGCATTCCTGCACCGGCGGCCCTCCCTCCGCGCAGCGCCCGCCCCGGCTGGGCCTGGGGGCGGGGCCGGCCGGGGGCTCCGTCCCGCCCTGAAGGCGCTGGGCGCCGGGCGGGAGGGCTGGTGCGGAGAAGAGGCTGCTTGCACAACATCGCACCAGCCTCTGACCTCCGGTCTGCCTTCCTTGGAACCACCGCTCCTCCGGGCCTCGGCCGCAGGGGAGGCAGTGGGAGGAGGGAGCGTCGCTGCTCGCGATGGGGACAGGCTTTCGCCAGGGCCCCGGCCCCCACTGGTACTTGCACTAGGGGCGCACCAGCTGCTGGATGCTTCTGGGGCCACCGAGGCCTGGCCTCCCAGCCTCTGCCCCCTTTCTAGCTTGGCCAGCACTCCCTTGGCATTGCGCAATCAGAAACATGAGCGAGATCCTGGGGTCAGGGGTAGGAATGGTAACCAGCCTTGCTGGGTCCCTCCCCCGCCCGCGGAGCTCTCCGTGCAGGGCCTGGAGAGGCTGCCCACAGCTGTCTCTGCTGGGAGGACCCACCCCTCCTCCCTCCCCCAGCCCGGAGAGAGGGAGTCTTGCAGAGAAGGGCCGATGCGCACTGAGGAGGGGAACCTGCAGGTCACTCAGCCTCCCCTTGCTGGAGGAGGGACCCATGGTGACCTGGAGAGTCCTCTCCATCACACACACTGGGAGGGCCCCGGACCCAGCCCCAGGCCTGATGTTCCCCATCCTAACAGACAGGACTTCTCCCTGGACTGGGCTCCAGGAGGCTGGGGGGCGGGGCTTCCCTCCCTTTCGGCCTAAAGACCATTGTGTGGCCTAAAGACCTTGTGTGAAGACAGGAGCTTTGCAGAGCTGGGTTCCAACCTCCACTCTCGCCCCTCACTGCTGTGTCCTGCCCACCCGGGGCATCGTTAGAGAGCGTGGGCGGAAGGCCCAGGACAGGGCCTGGCAACTCCCAGAGTCTCAGCAAATGTGACTTCCCCTCGCCCAGCTCCCAGTGCCTTCCAGGAGGAGGGGGACCCCGAGAGGAGGCCAGGCCCTGGAAGACGGGGATTCTGCGCCATCTTGGGGAGGTCTCTGGGCCATCCCATGTCTTAAGGGCCTAGTCATTGACGTGTTAATAACAGATGATTATGGAAATAATGATGTGTAATAACGACAGTAATAAGACCTCTTTGTACCCACACCCATTGCTCCCACCCTCCTGCCCAGTGAGGCAGAGCCTAACGGGCACAAGGGGGTCCACTGTGGAAGGGGGTGCCCTCCCTGCAGTACCAAACCCAGGGGGTGGGGGCAGGAAGCTGTGTCCCGTCACAGTTCTTCAGCCCAGGGGCTGCAGGGGCACCTCCACACAGGGACCTTCCCAACCGCTATGGGGGAGAGAGTGGGCAGCACCAGGAGAGAAGGGAGGGGGCCCGGACAGTGTCCCTTGAGGCCCAGATGGCAGCAGTGGAGGGAACTCAAGGTGTCCACAGCCCTGACTTAGGGGCCCCGCAAGGTCTCAGCCATCTGCCACTGATGCCCTCCAGTGGCTCCTCTCTTCAGCCCCCACCCCACCTCATCCCCCCACAGGCATCCCTGAGTGCCCCAGCCAGGCACAGTCCCACCGTGACCCAAAGTTCCATCTCTGTCCTTACTGCTCTCCCCTCGCTGGGCCTGGGACTCCTGAAACCCTCTCCAGCTCCAGGTTAATGTACACTAGTGCGGGCTTTGCAAGGTAGGCATTACGTCACCGAGGAGAAAAATGAGACTCAGAGAGGTCAAGCAACCTAGATATGGTCACACAGCTTTGTCAGTGGCAAGCTGGGATGGGGACGTGGAGTGGCCAGAAGGACCCAGCCTCTGTTGATGACATCACACCAGCCTGTGTCGGTCCTTGGAGCCTGGGAGTCCTGCCCTCCAGTCTCGTGACCTCCTGGGACTAGGGCAGATGACTCATTCTAAATCTTTCCCCAGAATTCAAGTCTTGCCTGACAACCTCATCTGGGAGAGGCTTAAGCCCCAAGTGGATCACTAGGGCCATCAGAAGGATCAAGAAGGCTGTGAGAGCCAGGGGGAGCCGGATGCAGGAGGCTGGTGCTCCCTCCCCGCGAGGGTATCCCTACTCTGCCCCTGGGGGGCACTTGGCCGAGGCAGTGCTGGGTCCCAGAGACGCTCAGTTCTTAGACTTGTTGACTCCACAGGACTGCTGGACAGAATGTCCCCTGGGTGCAGCCCAAAGCAGGCTCCGCCCTTTGCCCACCCTGGAGAAAGCTGATCTACAGTGTCAGCCCATCTGAGTCAGTCCAGTGGGACTGGGCCAGATCACACGGAGGCCCGGGAACCACATGCCGGAGGCGCTCTGGCCAGGTCTGACCATCCGGCCTGCGGAGGCGGGAGCCCTGGGTCCCCTCCGGTGGCCTCCTAGAACAGGGTGGAAAGAAAAATGGGAATGGAGGGACCCAGAGAGGCACAAAAAGTAACACAGCTCACTAAGCGTCTTGTCACAAATCTGCTTAGTGGTCACCCTACGGGACCTGCGTTACTTTCCGACCTCACTGCCTGTCCTCTGCCACCCAGGCGGCCTTGGTCTGCGTCCCCCTGGGGAAGAGGAAGAGGGGTGTGGTGTGGACCTGTGCTTCTCCGAATGTCCACGCAGACTCTCGTCCAAGGGGTCTGGGGTGGGACCTACGAGTCTGCCTTCTAGAAGCTGCTGTGGGACACTGGCGTTGCGGGTCAGCGAGGGTTCGGGGCAGTGCTCCTCAGAGTCCAGCCGCATCCTCATCACGGGGGCCTGTTCGAAACGCACACTCTAAGCACCCCCTTGGACCTGCCAAGTCAGAAACTCTGGGTTTGGGGCCCAGCTGTCTGGGCTTTAATGAGCCCCCCCGCCCCGTGATGTGATGTGCGGAAAGTGTGGGGACCTGGTGTGGGGAAGGCGCACTGAGCAAGGACACCCCTCTTGTAACCCTGGCTCTGTGACTCCCCCTCTGACTCCACTGTTCTTTTTTTTTTTTATCCTCACCCGAGGACATTTTTCCGTTTTTTGTACAGATAGAGTGGGAGGGAGAGAGAGGAACAGAGAGAGAGAGAAACATCAACGTGAAGGGACACATCGAGTGGCTGCCACCCGCACGACCAACCAGGGCCGGGGACAAACTGCAACCGAGGTACGTGCCCTTAGCGGGAACCGAACCCGGGTCTCTCAGGACCACAGGCCGACGCTCTAACCGCTGAGCCAAACTGGCCAGGGCTGACTCCATGTTCTTGCCCTTAAAATGAAGCTATCCGGCCCGTATCTGATCTGTAAGAATGTCTGGCTGGCTTACAGGGGCTAAGGACCATCCACGTCAGTGTCCCCCTTTGGATAAGACAAGAAGGATGTTGGGCTCCCTCCTCAGCCCGAGCCACGTTCCCAGGTTCATGGGGTCAGGTAGCTCCTCCTCAGCCAGAGGGGCCAGGAACAGAGGCTGCTCACAGCTCCACTGCCCGCTCTGGGCTTCTGCACGAACCCTCAGTCCACAGTGGCCTCTGCCTGGGAGACCCCCAGCTGACCTCTCCCTCAGCCCTCTCCTGGCCCGCCCACCCCTTTGATGCGGGGCCCTCTGTTCCAGAGCTGTGGGTGTCCTCGGAGGGAAACAGAAGAAAGGCAGCGAAGCGTCCGGGCTCTGAGGACCTGGCTTTTACAGGCCCCATTGCAACAGAGCTCAAGTGGGCAGCAGCCGGGGCCAACCCGCCCAGGCTTGCTCCTGGGTTCTCAGTGGAAATCCCCTCCCACGCTCAGCTCTTTAATCACTTTCCAGCCCATAACTTTCCTGATTCACCAGGGATCCCTTTCGTCTCCAGAGCGCCCACTGCCCCCTCTCCGACGGGGCCGAGTCTGGGCTTGATCCCGGCTTGGGTCTGGCAGAGGCTGGACTTGCGGGCTTGGGGTTCAGGTTGGGGCCTGCAGAGTTCTCCCCTTTCCCAGATCCTTCTAGCATCCGGTGCTCATGCTGTAGAGGCAAAGGGCCTCCCTGGCATGACCCTTGACCTCGGGGACACTGGGCTGAGGGTCAGGGGCATCAGAAGACGTCCGGCTGATGCCCAGGAACCTCATGGCCTTAACTGACCAGGAACAGCCGTGCAGACCTGGACCCGGGCGCGAGTTGTGTGAGGTGCTGGGCCTCTGTGAGCCAGGCTCTGGGCCAGGGACTGCGGACACAGTTCCCTTTCAGGAGGAACTGGCCAAATGGGGAGGTGGCGCTCCCCGAAGAGGACCCCAGAGTGACTCTTTCATGGGCCACAATCTTGACTCTGTAGAAGCGGGGCCCCCAGTACTGAACACAGCTGTCTAAGGTGGGACCCCGACGTCACTGCTGATACTGTGCGTGTGCTTGTCGGGATGGGGCCCGCTCCACTGACATACTCCCCCGACCCCGCAGGCTGCACCCAGAAAAGTTACCCATCAGCCCACCCATCCCACATGGCTGGTGGGGTGTCGCCCACTGATCCAGGTGTACAGACCACTGCAAATGGGCACCACAAAGGCACCCACCTCCCAGGGGTTGAGGGCCCGCTGAGTTCATACATTTAGGTCTTCAGTTGGGCCCATGACACACTGTACGTGTGCATGATGGGCGAATGACACTCTCGGTGACAGAGACACACGGGGACAAACTCTTAAAGAGTTTTGCCCACAAGTGACACCTCTCATCTCACTTCAGGGCCCAAAGCCACATGGCTACACTTC